TATAAACAGAGCATTTACTTAACTATTTGTACCTATAAAAAAGAACGTATAAACATAAAAAAATGTCTTAAAAATTGTCGGACTTTGTCCATTTCATTATATATATATATATATATATATATATATATATATATATATAATAAATAATAGCTGACCATTTGTATTCGAGTATATCCGTCTACTATGGCTGCCAATCCCTATTGCAGACGCTCGCTCAAGCATATTTGTGTTTGTGCTTGCTCAACACCCACAAAACCAAGCTGTGGTTTATATTGCAACTATGCTGAACAAACCTTAGTTACAGTCTCTGGGAGAGAGTATGTTATCTAGCGTGGCCAACAATTTAAACAAGGCTAGCACGCTCAATCCCGAGGCAACGATGACCTTCGTGCTAACACATCTATCGACGGCCCTCAAGAGTTCCGTCTACCCAATTTCACTCACAAGGCTTGGGTCAGCCCGTGGTGTAGTTTTCAGGCACTTTCCAAAGGTTCCGCACGCTGGGATCGACCTCGATCCATTCCGATAACATTAGGAAGTCTCCTTCCTGACAAATCGACCATGGTAAGATTCGAACTCGGGTCTAATGGTCAGAAATATGTGTGTGTGTGAGTAAATAACGAGAAGGAAAAGTGTATTAAGTGGTTTTTCGTTTAGAATGAACGTCTTCCGACAAGTAACTGGTTTAGAAATGAAATCAGTCCTGTATATAAAAAGAGAGAGTAAAAATACAGCAAATGCAGGCTACAGTTTAAATGTGAATCTTAAAATAATATAGAGCATATTCTAGGGTTCATGGATGAGTTTTAGGAGGTCCGTGATAGAAAATAACATTTATATTCGCTATACAATCCTTGTCTCAATTAACTTTTTCCCATTGAAAGAAATAAAAGAAAATGTATTATGCCACTGCTTGAAAAAAACAAAACAAAAAAGAACGCACCCAACCATTAATTACAGTGCTGACCACTAGGCGTTTTTTGACCGTGGTAGGGCATTTGGCTGAACTGGCATTTGGCTGACGGACATTTCACCGAAAAAGTAAAACTAGTAGCAAAGAAAACTATAAGTATTTTAATTAGCAGTATTATAAAGTAGAATAGGACTAATAATTATCACTGAATTTCAAGTTATTAAATTACTAAATCTAAATTTAAAGTTAAAAGTTTTCTTATTTCAATATTTGATGGAAATTAGTAATTTTAAAAATATTTGGTTGTGTCTGGGTAAAAAACTAGCACCTAATTATTTAAATTCGTATTTAACAGTAAGATAAAAGCAAATTGATCCCTTTAACATAATGATCATTAAAAGCGAAATTGAAAGATCTTTCATGTCGTAAAAGCTTAAGGTTTTTGTTGTAGTATATTCTTATCTTACGTAAATTTATTTATTTTAGGTAAAATATAATATATAGAGAAAACATTTTTAAAAAAAACCTGTAAAAAATCGAAAAAATATAAATTAACTTGCAGCCTGGCCCGGCGTTGCCCGTGCTTGATTCAAAAATCGTACGACTCATACAGCAATCGCTATCACTTGACTTAAAATATTTTTGCCCTTCCTTGCCTTTAAAGGAGTGTCCTTTGCCGTGCTGATGTTGCTACATGCCTTAATTCTTGCCTATTTCACACTGCGAATTTTTTCTAAGCTCTATACTAAACATTATATCTGTTACGAAAAAGAACTAAACAAAATGAACACAAAACGATCAGCTTTAAAAAGGACTCGTAACTGGAAAAACCGAATGAAAAAGAATGTTAACAACAAATACTTTTTTCACACCCAACCCAGTTCTGCGGAATCAGAATCAACGTTGAGTTTAAGCAAGCGAATGAGCCAATTGGAGTAAAGTGCCATGCAGATTTAAATTTTTCCCACTTGTGACGAATGTAGCTATCGATTTTTTTGCCTGCTAGCATGCTAGTTAACATTCGTGTCAGTCAGCTGTTGGCTCTCATGCAGGCCAGTAGAATCTTCTTGCCTATTCGTGGCAGCCAGCTATTGGCTCTCACTCTGGCCAGTACAAAATGGCCGCACACTACATGAAAACTGACGTAGAAGCATGAAAAAATCGATTATTTCCACTATCGATGGGAGTTGGGAAATGCAAAGTCGGTCTTGGCCTTACCGATAACTTGGAGCATGTGCATGTAAATTTTGGTGCAAATCCGTCGAAAATTGCGGTCGTGCATTCGTTACACACACACACACACACACACGCACACACACACACTCACACACACACATCCTGCCTTTTATAGATAGAGATACAGTAAATAATTATAAATATATGTAACACATTACGATAAAATAGTGTGACATAGATGTAAGTACACCTCTACATTTTTCTCTAAATGTCCATTCGGTTAAATGTCCGAGTACTTTTTTCACTTGCTGTTGGGTTCGTGTTTACCATTTAAACGTATCATTATTGTCTGCTTGTCTGTCATCTTTTGCTATTCCATTAGAGCAATTGATAATTCTCATCTTTCCACAGTTTATCACAGCTTGTGAGGATTAATTGACCATAATTTCTTCCAAGCGTGACTGGCTAAAAAGTGGTGTGTGCAGTGGGCATGAAGGTGGTGTATGGAGAAATGCACGTATAAGGGTTGTGAGAATCCAACCAAACTGTGAATATCTGTCTGTCTGTCTATCTACGAAGGTCTAGTTCTTATAGTGGTCCGTGACTCAAGGGCTTCGTGACTCATAAGAGATTAAGAATCACGGGCATAGCGGTTTAACTTTTGTTATGTTCCGCCAACCCTCGTCGGAACTGTTACATTCCGTGCTAAGGGAATAAATAAGTAACACCAAGTGGATAATAGAAGAAAGGTTTATTGTACAGAACAAGTGCAATATGAAATACAGTACAGTTATACACACAGGTCAATCTAGTAGTGAGTGCCACTAATTGGAAGGTCGGACATGCTTGCGTCTTCTCTCTCTCACTCTCTCCCTCTTCGTATATTTATTATGTAAAATACATAATTGTGGCACAAGGCCTAAAAAGGGGGGATTGAGGCTGGTCGACACTATATTATCCTATACTTAGCTAATCTGATTCACGACACATTACAGTTTCCACATTCACCATAAGAACTCATCCGTCACTAATCAATCCTCCATCCACCATAATACCGCATCTCTCATGGAGAAACCTACAAAACGCGCCCCATACCATAAAAATTTAATGATAATAAATTATTATACATAAAAATCTAATAATGAAAAATGAGAGGGTTGAGAGATGAACCCAATAAAAAACTAAAAATCTCACAAAGTAAACTAAACATAACTGATGTTAGTAGGGCCCGTCCAACCCTCAAAAAAGAGGAGAGGCCGCTGTATTCTGCCCATTGGACAAAATCAAGAGGCTCAATATTTATTATGTAAAAATACATAATTAGGGCACAAGGCCAAAAAAGGGGAGGGGTTGAGGCTGGTCGTCACTAACTATCCTATACCTAGCTAATCCGATTCACGACCCGTTCATACATTACAATTTACCCAGTCACCACAAAAACTCGTCCGTCACCAATCAATCCTCCATCCACCATAATACCACATCCTCTCTAGGGGGACCTACAAAACGCGCCCCATACCATAAAAATTTAATGATGATAAATATTATACATAAAATTCTAATAATGAAGAATGAGATGGGAGGGAGATGAACCCCCAAAATAAACTAAAATATTAACACAAAATAAAATTAAACATAACTGATGTTAGTAGCGCCCGTCCAAGCCTCAAAACAGAGAGGCCGCTGAATTCTGCACATTGGAGAAAATCAAGAAGCTCTCTCGCTAAGGGAGTGGGAAAAGGGATAAAAAAAAATCATACGGGCATGGGGATATAAAAAGCTGACCCAGTGGCACTCTCTCCCTCTTCTCTTCTAAGTCTCCCGTAGACAGTTGATTTTTAGGTACTTACTACCTATAGTGTAATCATTCATGGGGGCGCCGGGTTATTCCATTACATCAACATTTTAATTTAAATTTTGACCTCCGATGTATCGAATAATTTTCTTTCTTTTTTTTTTTTAGTTTAACCATTCTCTACAACCATTTACCGCTTCCGTTGTTATTGTTCACACCTATCCAACATTTTATTAATAGGACTTGTTTTTATGAAGAAAGGTGATATGTTGTATGATGCTGGGCGTAAATTTACCGTAAAGTATTCTGAAATAAGTGCAGACTCCGTCGTAAAATCAATCCTGCTTCGTACATAGGTGAACACTTCACAAACAGCCATCCGGGTAGGCAACCAGAGGTCTGTACGCCAGACCAAGCAAAACTAAGTTAATATTTACTTACCGTCATTTCTATTTACTGAAAGATACTAGAGCGATTAAAACTACTGAAAACTGAATCGTCAAAAAGAAATTTGAATCTTCTTTTTCCTTGCCCGTTATCTCTTTGTCTGACTGAGAAAAATATAGGTGAATAAATTAGCAGGTAAACTACTCTCCCAACACAATTTGTTGGTAAATAAACCCACCTCATCAATTCATACAGTGGTTAACTGGGTGTAAAAATATTGGTTGATAAGAGACACCCCAGGTCCGTAACAGAGACAAATGTTTGGATTTGGTTGGGCGGGGGTGGGGTGTTTAGAATTTTAGAAGTTATCAAAGGCCGCCAACATGGTTGTCGGCAAGAACATTTAAATTTTCCAGTCCCTCGAGATTGGCAGAAATGATCTTTGAAATAAAAGTGTGTTAGAACTGAAAGAACTTCTTGTTACGTTATTTAGCCGCTAGACCGTCAATATTCGGTGTTTTAGGGGCGGAGTTAGTCTTTTCGTCTTCTTCTTTCTCTTTTTATTTGAGAGAGAAATATAGAGAGAATGAAAGACGGAAAAAGTGGTGCTACTATTGTGGGTGGTCCTCCTCAATATAGCGTGAGGTCTACCTCCCGTTTCGTCTATAGCTTAAGTCTACCTCCCCATTCGTCTATAACGTGAAGTCTACCTCCCGTTTGATCGATAGCATGAAGTCTACCTCCCGATTCGTCTATAGCTTGAAATCTACCTCCCCATTCGTCTATAACGTGAAGTCTACCTCTCATTCGTCTATAACGTGGTCTACCTCCCGTTTCATCTATAGCGTGAAGTCTACCTCCCCATTCGTCTATAGCGTGAAGTCTACCTCCCCATTCGTCTATAGCGTGAAGTCTACCTCCCCATTCTTCTATAGCTTGAAGTCTATCTCCCATTCGTCTCTAGCGTGAAGTCTACCTCCCATTCTTCTATAGCTTGAAGTCTATCTCCCCATTCGTCTATAGCGTGAAGTCTACCTCCCCATTCTTCTATAGCTTGAAGTCTATCTCCCCATTCGTCTATAGCGTGAAGTCTACCTCCCCATTCTTCTATAGCTTGAAGTCTATCTCCCCATTCGTCTATAGCGTGAAGTCTACCTCCCCATTCGTCTATAGCGTGAAGTCTACCTCCCCATTCTTCTATAGCTTGAAGTCTATCTCCCCATTCGTCTATAGCGTGAAGTCTACCTCCTCATTCTTCTATAGCTTGAAGTCTATCTCCCCATTCGTCTATAGCGTGAAGTCTACCTCCCCATTCGTCTATAGCGTGAAGTCTACCTCCCCATTCTTCTATAGCTTGAAGTCTATCTCCCGTCTATGGCGTATAATATTGAAAATTTGGAAAATATTGAAATTTATTGGAAAAACATCGAAAATATAGAAAAGTTGATTTCCTTTACGAACAGTCCGTGTAGTTTGGCACTCCTTTCAAGGACAACGTAGTACAAACTTGAACTCTCCTCCATGACAGAACCGCATTCATGGCATGTATCTGCTTGTTCTCTTGAAATCTCTGTAACCCCTTGTATGCTAGTGGCAATCCCGAGCTGCTTGGGGTGAAATGATTAAAAAAATTCCTCCAGACCCTGTTCTGTCATCCACTTGCTTAAGCCTGTTAAGTATGACATGCGATGCTTTCCCTTGTCCCTCTTTCCCTCTATTCGCCCAGTGAGTATCAAATTTTCTAAGCCTGCCTTTCTCATTACGTGTCCCAGAAATTTCAGCTGCTTTTTCCTGATGTTAAGTATAAGATTCCTCCTTGTTTGAATCCTCCCCAAAATGTCATTGTTACTCATATGTTTGGTCTATGATATCCTTAGCATCCTTCTGTAGAACTATACCTCCGTTGCTTCGAGTATCTTCTTCATTATTGTGGAGACCGTCCAACATTCGCTGCCGTAAGGGAAGAAAAAAGTACAATTAACATTTTTGCGGAAAAATGTGTATTTCTTAGTAGTTACCGTGTACATATACTATACATATCATTTTCTTCTTTTATGTGCCGTATCCCTTCAGGACGTAAGCGATCATAGTCCTCCACATTTTCCTGTCCCTTGTAGCCCTTAATAAGTTTTGTCTTTTTTGTTATTTCTCCCAAACCCCGTTTCCAAGCCCGCCTTTCTCCTTTACGTGTCCCAGAAACTTCAGCTGCCTTTGCCTGATGTTAAGTATAAGCTTCCTTTTTGTTTGCATCCTCTCCAAAACCCCGTCGTTGCTCAAATGTGTTCAAGTCCATGGTACCCTTAGCTTCCTTCTGTAGAACTAGATCTCTGTTGCCTTGAGTCTCTTCTTCATCTTTGAGGAGACCGTCCAATATTCGCTGCCCTAAAGGAGGGAAAAAATGTGTATTTCTTAGTAATTACAGTGTACATATAATATACATATTCAGTCTCTTCTTTTCTTTGCCGTATTCCTTCGGGAAGTAGGAGATTGTAGTGGATCTAAGAAGGTTGCGTGAATATTTAAGATTTTGCTGCAAATAAAATATGCAATATCCACAAACATAAATTATAAGAAATGGTCAAATGGTAACGATATTCAATCACGACAAAATATATATATATATATATATATATATATATATATATATATATATATATGTCTGAAACTACAAATTAAATTTCATACACAATTTACAATTTCTTTGTTTGTAATGATGTGTACAAGCTATATTTTAGAGAAAAAGTTCCTTGCTGTTTCGGAAATGTTCGATGTCTAAAAAGTTATCTGCCTTTGATTAAAAAGGTTGAATTTAACTTAGACAAATGATTTTTCTATGAAAGATATTAAGTGAAAAATTTGTTGTGTAAATTTTTCTAATCTCTCATAAAGGAAGTTTGTTTCTTTGGCGGCACATAATTCCCGTGTGTATCTTTCGCGTGTGTGAGTCTCAAATACGATGAAAATTCGTTTACTATTTCTATTTATAGTTTTCTTAATAATGAAATTGACTCCAACGAGGTTTGGTAGCTGTTGCGAATTTTTCTGAGAAATGTGTGGGCGAATGTTGTATTTCTTTTACTTTTTAGCCATTTCTTGAAACATTTAAATTACGGTGAATTTGAGAAAGTTTTTTTACGTCGGTTGAGCCTACTTTTGCACAAAATTTGATTGTTTTATGGAAATTTCTCGAAGCTTATTTTATATTTAACAACCAATGAAATTCAAGAAAATGTTTGAAATTGAAATGAGGGTTACTAAAACATCATGGCCCTCCACATCTTCCCGTCCCTTGTAGCTCTTAATAAGTTTTGTATTTTTTGTTATTTCTTTCAAACCCTGTTCTGCCATTCACTCAAGCTCATCAAGTATGTTACATTCTGCTTTCCTCTGTTCCTCTTTCCATAAATCTGTCCTGTATCAAGTTTTCCAAACCCTCCTTCTTTATTACGTGTTCCAGAAACCTCCACTGCCTGTTCCTGATGTTAAGTATCCTTTTTGTTTCCATTCTCTCGAAAACCTTGTTGTTGCTCACATTTTCGGTCCATGTTATCCTCAGCATCTTTCTGTAGAACCACATTTCTGTTGCTTCAAGTCTCTTCATCTTTGACGAGATTGTCCAGCATTCGCGGCCATACAGAAGTAGAGATATCACGTAACAGTTCAAGAAGATGTCAATTATCAAACTATACATATTACTGACAATACAAACCAAACGTAAATACAGAATGTTATAATTGAAGTTTTATTTTTTTAATTTTAATTTTAAGTAATTGGTTGATATTTTAAATGGTTAATTTGCAGTGTAACACCCGCACTCAGTTCGCATTAAAAATTTCCAATATACTTATATTTATGTGTAATTCTACATGCTCTATTCGAATCTGGCTTGATATATTTGATAGAATCTACTGTTTTGGAGTTATCGACAGTGAAATTTGCGATTCAATCACGTCGTTGGCGGCCGCCATTACTCGCGTTGTTTGCATGCATTCACTGCGGAAAGCTAAACGCGGAAGGCTACGGAAAGCTAAGCTCGGAACTGATCTTTCTTGTCTAAATTTGTCGCAATTACTGCGCACGAGAACTATTTACGTAGACACGCTCAATTTGCGCAATGATACCTACATTGATACCTAATCTGCAGCGAATATATACAAACAACGCCCGTAATGGCTGCCCGCGACGCCAATGAGTCCCAAATTTCATTGTCGATAACTCCAAAACTGTAGATTTTATCAAATTTATCAAGCCAGATTCGAATGGAGCATGTACAATTACACATAAATGTAAGTATTTTGGAAATTGTTCCAGTGTGTTACACTGCAAATTAACCTTTTAAATATTTTACTGCACAATTTACACATTCTAGGAAAAGAACACCTGAATTAGAAACCATATGTAGTCCTGGCGAAGTGTATAATAAACAGTCATGGAAAATATTGTAGTGTTCACAAAGGCTTTAGGATTTTGACGGCACCCAATATAATTTTGGTAGTTAGATATCACTATGAAGAAGTCAATTATTTTGAAGAAAAATATGGAGAATAACTTAGAGCAAAACAAGAGGAGACATGTTTGTGTTATTAATTGGCTTACTTCTTGCCCAGAAACTGAAGACTATTTCATCTGCCAAACAAATATTTTTTATAATGGTGGACGAGGTCTAAAAATATTAGTTGCCAGGAGACAAAGGGAGACAACCCACAACTACAACGATATCATTTAAATTTTATAATGAATAAATATCATTTTTTCAAAAATGCATATGGAAAAAAAAAGGGTACAATTAAAAATTTTGTGGAAAAAGTGTATATTTCTTAATAATTATAGTGTACATATACTGTACATATTACTGGCAGTAGATACCGAATGTAAATACAAAATGTTATAATTTAATTTTTTATTCTTTTTTTTACGTAATTGTTAATTTGTTTATGCACAATTTACACATTAACAGATAGTTTAAAAACACAACAGAGCATTGCGTTTAGTTTATTATATTAAAAGTCTGGGTTGATCTCTCATAGTAGTTCACACTGGTTGGTGTGGCGCTCCTCCTGCTGATTGCTGCTGACTGACCGTGACAAGTCTCTTCCCTGGCCTCCTGTTGACTGCTGTTGTACTTCCCTGTGTGACCTCTTTTATGGCGTTTTTATGGCTTAACAGGCTCGTGAAATGACGCGAGTATAATTAGGAGGGAAGCATTTTTATTGGTCGAAAAATAGAAATACTTTAAAATAGTATTTTATTTTTCGACCAGAATTCGTGCGTCGGGCCTATGCGTAAACGACGATAATGGTCATTTTGTGACGGGGCCTTGTCCCGTTCACACCCGGCTCTCGCTCTTGAGTATGTTAGTTTATTTGCCTTCAAATCAGCCGAGATATTTTATTTTATAACAAAAGCAATGATTTGTGTTCATTAGATGATTATTAAAATCTGATAATTGCTTTTGTATCCAATTCATTCCAACAATTTCTATTCAATGGATAGCAACATGTATGATTCCAAATTCTCCTGAAAAAGCTAATTTCTTAATCTTTTCCATTGTGATCTTTAGCTTTAAAAATGGCCCCTCACATTGGACTTGAATAAATGATAGCGTGCAGATGGATTTATAATTATTCCTTATTTTATTACTAAAACAGTTATCTGTTTCTTTCTTGATTGCATTTTTATTTGATATAGGAGCCCCACTTGCCATCGGGCACGCTGACATCCTAACCAGTCCACCAGTTATTACTTACGGGGACATTTTTACAGAGATTGTAATTTTATCCTTTGAAATCTACCATAAAAGATAAAAGGGGATTTTCTGTATGAAATTAAATATTTGATCAAATGCAGTTCAATATATTAAGAGCAATCGTTTGTGTTCAATAGATGGTTGTTTGGATCTGCCAATAATTGTTTCTGCATTCAATTCATCTAACAATTCCTTTTCAATGAATAATAACATGTATGATTCCAAATTCTCCTCAGAAAGCTAATTTCTTAATTATGTCTTTATGATCTTTAGCTTTGAAAATGTCTTTTAACATTGGACTTGAGTAACTGATTGTGTACAGATGAGTTTATAAAGTTCTTATTTGTTTTTTAAGCTAATTTTACTCCAGTAAATGGATATATAGTTTGGTCAAAAGCATAGCCATGGCTAGCAGTACATACGCTAATTTTATACCTCGTGTATGATGCAACTCCCTTAAAATTAGCTTCAAAATGAGATCTTCAAAAGTGTCACGATACGCAAGGATATACAGTACTTCTTTACAGAGTACATGTACTCTACATATTACTGGCAGTAGATACCAAATGTAAATACAGAATGTTATAATTGATTCGTTTTTTTAATTTTAAGTAATTGATTGATATTTTGAAATAGTTTACTGCACAATTTACATATTAACAGAGAGTTCAAAGGCAAAAGAGAGCATTGTA